TTATGAGCTGCACGGAAAGCCTGGTTGACCGGGGGCCTCGATTGGTTGAAAATCTGAAACCCGGCTCTTGGCAAGATATGGTCCGAAATGCAGCATTTGGATCGCAGGCCATGAGCAGGAAAATGGGGTGGTGGTCTCGGAGCCTGGCCTGGGGCCTCGCACAGAGAGTGGTGAAGGCTCAGGGACCAGGTGTTCTAGTCCAGCTTTGCCCTGTCTCACTGTGTGGCCTAGACACAGCTCTTAGCCTGTTTCTCCATCTGCAAAATGGGGATAATCACCTGCTCCTCCTTGACCGATAGCCTTGTAGAAAGACGCCAGCTTGGAACATGTGGGAGCGCTTTGAAGGGGAGCCCCAGACCTCTGGAAGCCACTGCTCCCCTCCTCTCCTAAAGCAGGGGTGGTGGGCATAGAGAACGCTGATTCCGAGTTTCTGAGCAATGTCCAAATGTCTTCAGAGGCATTCAGGAGGACGAGGGGGAGGAGGAGGAGAAGCAAGGGCGGGGGGGAGGAGAAGGTGGTGGGGGTTCAATGTTGACCTCAGAACAGTTTTAGGGCAAGTGTTTCTGAAAAGCCTGTTTCCTGTAGTAATATGGAGATCGACTGGGATTCTGACCCCTATGCTGAGGCTCCTTGGCTATGTGATTTTGGATCAGTCCCTTGACACGTCTGAGCCTCATTGTCCTCATGTGTAAAAGGGGATCACAATGGCCCCCTCCCCCACCAGGCTGTGAGGATAAAATGAAATCATTCGTGTAAAACTCTGCTCAGAGCATCTTGGGACAACAGCGGTTCCCCACAGAAGTTAGGTGCCGCTGCTGTGATGCTGTTAATAACAGTGATGGGAAACCCCAGCCCACTGGCAAGTCCAAGGCAGCAAATGCATGAAGCACAAAACTTTTCCTAAGAACTGGGTGGGCCTGGGAAACCTGGCCACCTTCCCTTTCTACCTCGGGCTCCCACCCACTGGCAAGGACTAGAATTACAGCCACGGGAAAGAGCTTGCCTGGCGGAAGGGGCAGTAGGTATATTCCCCGTGTCGGCTGTCCTCACCCCCCTGGGGAAGGAAAGGCGTGCTGACCTCGAGAGCCAGGGAAATACAAGCCCCGTTCTGTGGCCAGAAGAGCTTGCAGATATTCCCGAAGGCTTGTCCACCCCGATGATGAGAAAATCGGTCCCCAAGTCTTGTCCATTTTACTTCCTGACTATTCCTAGGACTGGTCCCTTTTCCATCCCCATGTCATCTCCTGGTCCCTGCCACCACCCTGTCTCCCTGGATGAGGCCAGCCTCCTGGCCTTCCTGCCTCTAATTCCTTCTTCACATAAAAGCCAGAAGGAATTTTTTTAAACTGCAAATCTGATCATGCCGTTCCCCAGCTTAAATCTCTCAGTGTGTCCCTGCGGCCCCTGGACTAAGGCCTTTCAACCCCTCGTTCCTGCCCACTCAGCCCTTGTCACCTGCCCTCTGCCTTTCCAGGACTTGTTCCTGCTGTTCCCTTGGGGCACGCTCTCCCATCTTTGCCTGGTGAGCTCCAAGCACCCCCAAGCATCCCCAGGCTGCCTTCCCTGCTTCTGCAGCCCTTCCCCCAACATGGCCCTTATCAAGCCCTGATGCTCCTCGGTCTGCACCCCAGGCTGTGAGCAGGGGCTGTGCCTGGTTTTCTTCACTGCAGTGTCTCCAGTGCCCACCTAGCTGCTGGCACCGGGAAGGTGACACACTGTCGAGTGAGGAAACGGGCTTCCAGTGGGTGACAGACCCAATGGTATGGACACCTCTCTGGTCATCTTCCTGGACTCTGACCTGGCCCGACCCCAAGCCGACAGGCGCCCCCGTAGTGCCCTGGAAATGACGTTCTGAGGCTGACAGACGTTGTCCACTGTGTGATGCCCACCCCAGGGTGGCTGACTCTAGGATGCTATCTCCTTCGCGGTTTTGGTGGCAGAGCGGACGGATGTTGGGCTCCTTTCTGTAGCCCCATCTGGAGGATGAGCCTCTGAGCCCTGCCCCAGTGGGGAGGGGTGCGGGGAGGCCCAGGCCTGCGGCTCAGCCCCGTGGTCCCCAGCGAGCAGCAGCAAGTGCCTCCCAGGCTCCCTGGCGAATGCAGCGTCCTCGTCCTCGCGCTGCGCTTTTTCTCCAGAGCTGAGCTTTCGATGACAATCCCTGCAGCCTGGTGTTTGTGCCCATGCTCAGTCCCATCCAGGGCCATGCCCACTGCCTCTCTTAGGACAGGCCCCCCAGAAGCCGACTCTGGGAAGAGGGTTCTGGGGAAGGTGATTTATTGGAGACTGGCCCCTGGGGGACAGGGGCAAAGGAGTGGGCAGCAGCAAAGGGGCTCAGGCAAAGCCCCAGCTTCAGTCTGATCCCAGGAGACCCTCTTCCCAGTTCTCTGGTTCATCCCATTGACATTTCCCAGTCTTCTGTGGAGTGCTGTGCAATCCAGCTCTAGAAAAGTACCGTGTGTCTTCCCTGACAGCCGGGCGACCACCCATGTCCTCTGCAAACAGTGGCCACTGAAACCGAGAGTCCCTGTGGACTTGATTACATTTAGTTTTAAAGTCTAGCTCTAGAAATCACCTTTCTCTCTCTCTTTCTCTCTCTCTCTCTCTCTCGATATATCTATATTTTTTCTTTCCCTTTGAGACCTAGCATTTCCCCTGGGTAACCAGTAACCCCCAAGCAGCAGAAGACAGTAGCCAGACCTGACTAATGGTCACAAGGTCCAGACCTCTGGCAGGCTGAAGATACATCCTGACCTAAGTTATGTTTCAGCTCCTGCGCCCTAAGGTGGAATGACCCCCTGGCTACCTTCCCATGGGAGGGGACAGAGGGACCCTGGACCGACCTCAGAACTGTCCTCCAGACCTGAAGGAATGATTCTCACCCTCACCTCACCTCCGACCAACCAGCTCCCTGCATGACCCTGACCCCCAACCCAGATTATAGCGGGCCTTTGGGTCTGCCCTCTCTGATCTGTAGCCTGCACGCCATCAGGGAGCTGGGGCTGTAGGGCATAAGCTCTGTCTCCAGATCGGCCGATTCAACATGAAACTGTTTCTTTCTATGCTGCCGACTCCTGCCCGCGCCCTTCGGTGGGCCCGAGCGGACGAGCTCCGAGAAAACTCCGGGTCACGGTAACGCCACTGCCAAGAGCTTTGCCTCGTTCCTGGCCATGAACTCACGTTAGCAATCCTATGGTTCTCTTTTAATTTCATAAGGTGTTCTTGCTTGTAAAGAAAAAACCCCGAACATAGAGGCAGTTTATGGTGACAAAGGAAACTTTCTCCCACCTTCACTCCAGAGTGGGTATCTATTTATTCATTTCTCTTTTCTGACAACTTCTGGCGATGTGGCTATTTCATCATATTTAATGCCCGCGAGCCCCTGAGAAACGGTGCGATCTCCCATGTACCAGAGGGGGAGCCGTGGCTGAGAAGGCGACATGACCTGCTGGCCCCGCCGGCCCCGCAGAGCCAGGAGCCAGGCCCGCGGCCTGTTCAGCCAGGCTGGTAGCTGCAGCTGGAGCCGGCGAGTCGGCTGGGGCAGGGGTGGGGCAGGGGCCACGGAAGCCCCCGTGCCACTTTACTCAGTCCTGGGGCTGGCAAGGAAGGCTCTGGGGTTCAGAGGGAGCCCTTTGTCTGCATCTACTGCCCGGCGTGGGCAGAGGGCCTGGCACTTGGAACAAAATGGGAGGAAGGGAGCAGGTCTGTTTGTCGATGTAAAGCTGCCGAGCATGATGTTGAGGTGGGTGTCTGTGCAAGGGGTTAGTTGCGGTTGCCAGCAACAACCCTTTTAATCCCTGAGCATGATCTACACGTGGGTGGGGGGAGGGGGGCCACAGAACTGGCCGGTGGCTGGCTGGGCTCCTTCCTCAGCCCAGCCTGCTCAAAGCCCTCTATCAGGCTTTCAACATGGACCTTGAACCCACTGCAGCTGCAGTCTATGTCCCAGCCCGCCAGTGGCCCTGTCAAAGCCTCCCGCACTCTCCTTCACACCCAGTCCCCTCGGCACATGTGAAGCCTGCCTGTCCCTAGGGCTGGGACCTGTGTGCCCATACTGACAGAGGGCACAGGACTTCAGCCTCTGCTGGGCCACGGCTCGGGCATTTGCACTGGGAGCGTGGGCACCTTCTCCATGAGCCTTGCAGTCTTCCTGGTACACGCCCCAGGTGCCCGAGTGCCAGTGCCTTCTGCTCCCAGGACTGGGTCCAGGGCCCCAGGGCCCTTCTCAGAGACCCAGGTGGGGTCTTAGTTCCATATCTTTGGGCCTCATCATCCAGTGGGCTCCAGTGGCTGGTATTGACATCTCTTGGCTAAGACAGTCTGGGAAGCTAAGATGACCACTCTTCCCAATGTAGGTAGAGGAGGAGAGTCCAGGAATGCACATGGGCGCTGACACAGCCCTCCAGCGGTGACCAATCGGGGTGCATAAGGACCCCAGCTCCCTGACCCTGACTAAGAGATCTCTGGGGCATGTGCTCCATACTGGTTCCTAGGGGTGCCTGTGGGGGTCACTCCGCTCACTCACAGTACACCCTTTATTGGTTCCTTTGCTTCCCCGTCTTACTTCTCCACCCCTCTATTGGTGTTTTCTAGAATCACGCTCCTGGGGAACGTGACTACGACAGCTAGGACGTTCTTCCTGAAGCCTGCCTCCAGCCTGACTGGTCTCTCCCCCTCTGTGACCCCCACGCCCCTGTCCTCTCCAGCTCTCATTCAAACAGCAGGTGCAGCATTCTCTGGGTCCAGCCCTCAGCCCTGTGCTTGTGGGTCTGACACCCTACGCTGGGAACCAGGTTCCTTTCATGCCTAAATGGAGATCCCTGTGAACTCGACCTCGTTTCTAGCTGCGAACCAGGTACCAGAAGCTGTCACCGACCTATCCGAACTTGTAGCCCAAGTACTCCCAATCCAGACTATTTCCACCCCAGGGAGGGATGCTGCACACAGGGTGGTCAGAAAGTCCATCCAACATGAGCAAAAATACAATTTAATTCTGCCCGGGGGTGGGCAGTCCGCCCGCTCTCGGGGCAGCAGCCAGAGTTCCGAGGGGAAAGCACACAGAGCGGCTCCGGAAGGACCCTCCGAGGCTCGCCCCCTCCAGGCAGGACAGTGCCTCAGCCCCTGGAGGCTTTTGTTCCCACAGAGTGCGGGGTTCAGCACCTTCCTGCTGCCACGACTGGTCCCTTGTCCTCTGCTGTCCCTCAGCTCCATCCAGTCCAGCTTGCGGCCACCCAGGGGGAGCTGAAGAAGCCCTAAATCACCTTCCGGGGCACACAGCCCTCCAGCTCGAGCAGCTCCGGCCAGCCATCGTATTTGTTCTTGCCGGGGTCATTCTTTAAGAACTAGAGAGCAAGAGACGAGGGAGAAACAGGGGTAATGGGGGAGGCTGTTCAGAACTCACACCTGCATTTGCGTTGTGCTTTAAAACCTAAATGCCTTCACTTATTTCATCCTCACTACTGTTCCATGGTGTGCAGCGTTGGATATTACTAGCCCATTTCACAGATGGGCAGACTGAGGCTCAGAGGGGCTGCAACTTGCCCAAGGTTTCAGAGTTGGGATCAGAGCCTAGTAACTGCCTGTCACGGGGTGTTGGTGGTTGTGAGGGACACCCCCACGAGGATGGGGCTGCAGAGTTTAGTCCCTCTCCCAAATTCTCCATCAGCCCCTCTAGACACCCCAAATAATAGTAAAAAAGCATCCTAGCCATTATTGAATGCTTGCTGTATACCAGGCACAAGGTGCCTTATGTATTTAATCCTCACAGTAGCCCTAAGAAGTGCATACTATTATCATCCCATTACACAGATGGGGAAACCGAGGCACATGGGGTCAAAGTAACAGCTTATGGCCACCCACCTGGTACGTGGCAGAACCACTGGGTAATATTAATTCATATTGGTAATAAACACATAAAAGGTACAAAATTAGTTAAGATGTGTTTAAAATGCCCAGGCTTAGTTTTTGGGAAAAAAAGTGTAAATGGCAAAACCTACGGTTGGAATAATTGTGGCTAACCCTTAGGAAGAAAAATCAGAGTCTAGCCCTGGCCAGTTTGGCTCAGCGTGTTGGCCTGCGGTCCGGAGAGACCCGGGTTCGGTTCCCGCTAAGGGCACGTACTTCGGTTGCAGTTTGTCCCCGGCCCTGGTTGGTCATGCGGGTGGCAGCCACTCGATGTGTCCCTTCACGTCGATGTTTCTCACTCTCTCTCCCTTCCTCTCTCTCCCTTCCACTCTATCTGTACAAAAAATGGAAAAATATCCTCGGGTGAGGATTAAATAAATAAATAAATAAATAAATAAATAAATAAGAAAAAACAGAGTCTAGACGCTGCCAGTTTCCCACGTGTGGGAACAAATCACATGATGGTTTCATCGCATCATGGTCTTTGGTTCATTTGTGGGCGACGGGTCCTACTCAGCTGCTAGTGAATTTCAGGTGAAGGATGGTGCTGACTTCTCCCTATTTATCTGCTTCTCTGTGTTGTCTTGGCCCAGTTTTGATGGGTCTGGAACTGTGCTTTAAGGAGGACAGCGCCTGCCCTGCATCTGCCCTGCTCTGCCCTGCCCTGCATCTGCCCTGCTCTGCCCTGCATCTGCCCTGCTCTGCCCTGCCCTGCATCTGCCCTGCTCTGCCCTGCATCTGCCCTGCTCTGCCCTGCTCTGCCCTGCATCTGCCCTGCTCTGCCCTGCATCTGCCCTGCTCTGCCCTGCTCTGCCCTGCATCTGCCCTGCTCTGCCCTGCATCTGCCCTGCTCTGCCCTGCATCTGCCCTGCATCTGCCTGCTCTGCCCTGCATCTGCCCTGCATCTGCCCTGCTCTGCCCTGCATCTGCCCTGCTCTGCCCTGCCCTGCATCTGCCCTGCTCTGCCCTGCTCTGCCCTGCCCTGCCCTGCCCTGCATCTGCCCTGCATCTGCCCTGCTCTGCCCTGCATCTGCCCTGCTCTGCCCTGCATCTGCCCTGCCCTGCTCTGCCCTGCATCTGCCCTGCATCTGCCCTGCATCTGCCCTGCTCTGCCCTGCTCTGCCCTGCCCTGCCCTGCCCTGCATCTGCCCTGCATCTGCCCTGCTCTGCCCTGCTCTGCCCTGCCCTGCATCTGCCCTGCATCTGCCTGCTGCCTGCCCTGCATCTGCCCTGCATCTGCCCTGCTCTGCCCTGCTCTGCCCTGCTCTGCCCTGCATCTGCCCTGCTCTGCCCGGCATCTGCCCTGCTCTGCCCGGCATCTGCCCTGCTCTGCCCTGCATTTGCCCTGCATCTGCCCTGCTCTGCCCTGCCCTGCCCTGCTCTGCCCTGCTCTGCCCGGCATCTGCCCTGCTCTGCCCTGCATCTGCCCTGCCCTGCCCTGCTCTGCCCTGCTCTGCCCTGCTCTGCCCTGCATTTGCCCTGCATCTGCCCTGCTCTGCCCTGCATCTGCCCTGCTCTGCCCTGCATCTGCCCTGCATCTGCCCTGCATTTGCCCTGCATCTGCCCTGCTCTGCCCTGCATCTGCCCTGCCCTGCATCTGCCCTGCATCTGCCCTGCTCTGCCCTGCATCTGCCCTGCTCTGCCCTGCTCTGCCCTGCTCTGCCCTGCATCTGCCCTGCTCTGCCCTGCATCTGCCCTGCTCTGCCATGCATCTGCCCTGCTCTGCCCTGCTCTGCCCTGCTCTGCCATGCATCTGCCCTGCTCTGCCCTGCCCTGTATCTGCCCTGCTCTGCCTCCGCAGCCCCTAATCCAGGAAGCTGGTCTGGTCTGATCATTGCGGTGCCTCCCCCCACCGTCTTTGGAAGGTTCCCCTCCCACAGCGCTCTCCATGCTCAGCCAGGGTGTCCACGCTGAAAGCAGCCTGCACAGGAAATCTCTGTGGAGGCAGCAGGCCTGAGTGAGAAATCCATCTGCATCATTGAGACCCAGGCAACTGGTCAAAACCTCTCCGAGGCTCCAGATCCTCCTCTGTGAGATGGGATGATAATGGTACCTACTTCATGGTGGGTGTTAAATGAGACCCTGCGGGGCACTTGCTCAGGCTCCTGCACAGAGCAAGCGCTTGCTGAATGCTAGGCTTTCTTATGATCAGTGTGCTCTTGTTGCTCTCCCTCTTAAGCATCCCATGGCTCCCCACTGCCTTCAGGACAGAATCCATGCCCCCAAGTGGTCCCACATGTCTGAATCACTGGAGCTGGGCAGAGCTGAGCATTCTCATCACTGTGCCAGGGAAGGCCTGGCCGGTTCTCTCAGGTTTCAGACATGCTGAGCTGGGGGATGCACAGATGGGGACCGCCTTGGGCAAGGGGAGAAGATGAAGCATCTCCCTGGGGCCCCCATCCCTCTGTCGACAATCCTTTCCTTCTGTGAGTGCTCCTCAAACTCCACCTCTGAGTACCTCCTTGACCCCCTCTCCTTAGGCCACCCTGGGTAGTGACTGTGGAGCCCCATGTCGAGGACCCCTCCTGACTCCTTCCACATACTCAAGTGTGCTCTTCTGTGTCCCCTTCTTGGTGCAAGTTCACCCTCTCCACAGGGTCTCAGAAAGGGCCTCAGGCTCCCCTGGTCCAAACCCTCCCCTTTACAGGTGGGGAGACTGAGGCCTGGGGAGAGGAGGAGCTGGGTAAAATGGGACCAGAAGACAGGCCTCCTGACCCTGCTCTGGGCTCCCCTCCCCCCGCCGTGCGCTTCATCTCTCACATCCACTTCATTTCCTTCCATGCTTCACTCTCCTGTACCTGCCTCTCCTTCCCTTCGGTTTGGAACTTACCTGTGTACCCCTGCATTTCTACAAATCCTGGCCAAGTGGTCGAGACCACCACCTTCTGGGGGACTAGCCAGTGAGGCCGCCCTGACCTCTGGGGTGGATGACAGCCAAGTGGCTCTGTCCACACTACCCTGTGTGTCCTTCCCAAGCCACCCCAGTTCTTATCCATCATCCCTGGCTCTGCCCCCAACCGCTCCCCGGGATGGGGAGGCCGCCAGGAACCCACCTGCTCAAAGGGACTTTTATTGTCCATGTCTCTGGCCCCCAAGAAGACCCAGCTGTCCCGGAAGCCCAGCTGCTTTGCGTAGGAGCTGCCCAGGTTGGAAAAGAGCTTCCTGATCTCATCGTTCATTCTGCAGAGGATCAGAGAGGATGGTCAGGCAGATGGCAGAGGGTGAGCTTCTCAAGCACTGGGAGCCACGTGCTGCAGGGACCGCGGGGCCACTGGGAGAAGCGGGCGGTGGCCAGGACTCCTCCCCAACGGCCACTCAGGGAGCTGGACAGGTGTTCGAACAGTTCCACTTCTGTTCACAAATGTAACGTATGTTCATTTGGAAAATACGGAACAATTAAGAAGTATTTACAGCATCACCCCCTTGACATAATCACTGTAAAATTTTAATCTTTTTTTCATGTCTTTCCCCCATGTATTGTGAGATCATACCAACTCTTTCGTAACCTGCTTTTTTTTCACTTAGCACTAAAGGATGAACACCTGAAACTAATACAAGACAGAACGGTAATCAAAGATAAAATAAGAAATACTAAAGGATGAGTATTCTCCCATGTCCTTAAATATTTTCGACACCCATTTGTGATGCAGTGAATGCTCTTAGGTATGTTTAAGTATGTGTCATATATCACCGCGTCATGGGTTCTGCAACTGGTCAGCACGTTGGACAGGGAGAGTGTCCAGCTGTTTACTGTTGTGACCGCGGCTGTAATGACCCTCCTTGGTGCACTTGTCTGGTTTCTTAGGAGAAGTTGCCAGAAGATGGGGCTGGTGGGGAGTGGAACGGGCTGGGGGGTTTGGGAGCCTTAGGTTCCCTTCTCCCCCCAGCGTGGCAGGTGGAGGTTCCAGCTTACTTGGTCCCCGGGTCGTCGTAGGAGGCCACCAGCACCAGCACGTCCGCTGGAATCTCTCTGAGGAATTTCACCAGGAGCGAAGGATCTGGGAGGAAGGAAGGCAAGGTGCCAGTCACTCCGGGGAGACTCTCATCCTCTCCGACAGCCCAGGAGTGGCCGGGCAGGCTGACACCAAGCTCCATCTGCAGCCTCGGGCCGGCAGGGGGCGGCATCCCGGGTGAGCCTCCCACCCTGACCGAGGCCGTCCCCATTCAGGGGGCTAGGGGGGCTGGGTGGGCTGTGGACCGTGAACGTTCCCCAGCTGATTCTGATGTGCAGCTGGGGGTGGGAACCACTGGTCTAAGAGCCACTGGGGACTTTCACCCGGGGACGGAGCTCAGTCCTCTCTCGGGAGCTCTGGGCTCTTTGCACCGCACCCCCTTCTACCATGGTTAAGAATCTAGTTTATCTGTGTTGACGTTATTTATTTTTTGAAATTAAAATATAGTTAACATATAATATTATATTGGTTTCACGTGTACAACATAGTGATTTCACATTTATACACCTTACGAAGTGATACCATGGTAAGTCTAGTAACCATCTGTCACTGTGCAAAGTTACTGCAATATTAATGACCATATTCCCGGTGCTGCGCATTACAGCCCTGTGACTTACTCATTTTATAACGAGAAGTCTGTGCCCCTTATTCCTCTGCACCTTCTTCGCCACTCCCCCCAACTCTCTGGCAACCATCAGCTTGTTCTCTGTGTCTGTGAGTCAGCTTCCATTTTGTTTGTTTTGTTTTTTTTAGATTCCATATATAAGGGAAATCATATGGTATTTGTTCTTCTCTGTCTGACATTTCATTTAGCATACTATCCTGTAGGTCCATCCATGTTGTCACAAATGGTCAGATTTTATTCTTTTCTTATGGCTGAGTAATATTTCACCACATACACCCCCCCCCCCACTTCTTTATCTGTTCATCTAGTAATGGACACCTAGGTTGCCTCTATATCTTGGCTATTGTAAATAATGCTGCAATGAACCTAAGGGTGCATATGTCTTTTTGAATGAATGTTTTGGGTTTCTATGGAGGGCACACACACAGCCTGCAGGTAACTGGGGTCACTGAGAGGACTTGGGCTCCTACAACTCTCCAGCTTGATCAAGGAGCAAGGCTCCGTTTGTGACTTTAACACCTCCCTGCACTGTGAAGTCTCTGATTTGACAGAGAGTAGGCCTGGGTGCCAGGGAGGCATCAGTTCCGTGCTCCCTCGTTGGACACTTATTTGTTTCTGATGTGCTTATTTTCATGACCATAAAGGTAATAATGGCTTTCTGCTTAGGGCAATGATATAATTTCCTTTGAAGATATATTTATTCAGATTTAAAAAGTGAGACAATTTAAAGAAAAACTCTGATAATGCAGATGGTTCTCTGGATATGGTGTAATATGTGCAAGGGCTCTTGAATGGTTGACATATGGTAAGACTGGCCTAGTGGGTAAAGCACCAGCTACATCTGCCAAACGAGGAAGATTAATAGCCCTGCTCACAGCATTTTTGTAAAGATTGGATGTGACAATGATTCTGGGTATACAGTCAGTACACTATAATGGAATTACAGGACAGACTACACAATTTTCAGGGTCCGGTGCAAAATGAGAATGTGGGGGCTTTTTGTTAAAAAATTATTAAGGCCCTGGCCGGTTTGGCTCAGCGGTTGGAGCGTCGGCCTGCGGGACAGAGAGACCCGGGTTCGGTTCCCGCTAAGGGCACATACCTCGGTTGCAGTTTGTCCCTGGCCCTGGTTGGTCGTGTGGGTGGCAGCCACTCGATGTGTCCCTTCACATCGATGTTTCTCTCTCTCTCTCTCTCTCTCTCTCTCTCTCTCTCTCTTCCTCTCTCTCCCTCCGGCTCTATCTGAACAAAAAATGGAAAAATGTCCTCGAGTGAGGATAAAGAAAAAAAAAATTATTAAGAATTTCAAGAACGTCAAACCAAGCATGAGTTTCCTCTAAGTTCGGGGCCTCTGTGACTGCCCACCCACAGGCCACACACCCACAATAGTTCCCTGATTCTTAGTATTCTGTGGTGATGTTTTGGACGTATGGGAAGAACGGGTCCCCAAGCAGGGCCAGCCACTAGCCAGTTAGTCATACAGAAGCCCCCAGTCAATGACAATGACCACAGCGGCTCTGTTGTGAAACGGCCCCGAACTCGAGATAAGAGAATGAGCGCTGAAAGCACCATTCATTCATCAGCCACTGTCAGGAGCTGGCTCTGGTCTGGACTGTAGATGTTTGGAAAAAATGAAGTGTGCCTTCCCTTCATTATCATCTCACTGCAAGAAGTCCTTGTCTGGCCCTGTCTCCTGTGGGAAGGGGCGACTTGTTCTCAGTGTGGTTCTGTTTCTGGTTCCCACAGCCACGATGACATCCAAGTTCATAATAAGACATTACAACACTTAGTTTCACCTTTTAACTTATTTTCTCCCCTTTCCTGACAGATGGCCTCCTTGCTTCTGAACCATGTGGACAGAGTGAGGGAGGAGGGAGGGCAAGGGAGAGGACTGAACTAACCTCCCCTCCGCCAGCCCGGCTGGCTTTCCTCCAGCTACGTACTGAGAGTTATTTAATCCTCTCATCAGTGCTATGAGGTAGACACCATAGCTACTTTGGAGCTGTCACCTGCCTCAGGTCATGTAGCCTGAAGTCTCTGACTCCAGAGACTGGTCCTTTTCCATAAACCTGACCCAAGGTCGCTGTGTGAGCTCCACCCACGCTATCCTCCCCTTCAGCAATAGCCAACCCCCCCGCCACCTCCCGGTCCTGGGGGTGTGTCTGCAGCATGGGGGCAGGCCTGAAGACTCCTGTGTGGCCCTGTGGCGGGCTCCAGGTTGGCATGTCCCTGGCCTGCAGACCCTAGCTGTGAGGACGGCCATCATGGTACCCTATGAAACCCTGGGCCCAGGAGGGTCCCCGCTGCCTGTCTGGAAGGTGCTGCTGTAGATCACTTCCAAACAGGTCCCAGCTGTGGCTTCGGGGCAGCAGGATCCCATTTCTCCTTTCAACCCCTCTGTTCACAAATCCCAGAGGCTTCTCAGTCTCTGCTGCCTGGTGGCCTTCTCCCCTTTGCCAGTAAGGTAGGTTTTCTCTGGAGGTGGAGGCAAAGTTGGGGATTCAGGGGAGATGGACGCCAGCTGATTAGTGGCAGCAGAGCCCCATTCCACTGTGCGAGGAGCTGGGGCGAGGACGTGTCCCATGCTCAGCACACTGGGACGCCCCAGGCCCAGAGCTGGACTTGTGATCACAGGGACGTGGGCTGAACTGAATTCATCCATCCCCACGGAGATCAGTCCTTGTAGGGCCCAGACCTCGGCTCAGTGCAAAGGGCCAACATGCTGCTTTCCATTCCTGCCGAGGCGCCCTGGGCGGGCACTGATTCCACCACAATCGGAAGATGCGAGAGCGTTGAGCCAGAGTCCTGCCCCCATCTCCGCCAGGTGGGTGACAAAGCTGCTGGGGGGAACTGAGATGTCCCAGCCCCCGACCCAGGTAGCTGAGTGCCCTGCTTGCCTTTGCTCAGGGCCGAGAGGACAGTGACTTCCTGAGGGTGTCCTGTGCAAGCAGAAGCTCAGGAAGCCTGTCTGCGCAGAGAAGAAAGACAGCTGCAGAGAGAGAGCTTGGAGCCTCACAGCTGTCCTTTCTGGGTCCGGGAGGCCGTGTCCTGTCCTTAGGCCACCACGGACCCCTGTGGCCTTAAAATTAAACACCCGTGATCAGGCCGAGCAGACCTGGCCATATACCTCATCCCCAGCATGTCGTTGGACACGGCCTGGCCTCCAACCGCAGGCGCCAGCGTTTCTTGGCCTGAAGGTCTTCTTTGACGTCCACACCCTTGTCTGTGCCCGGGGCAGGCCCGAGTGTGGGGTGTGCCATGGAGTTAGGGGTGGGAGCCCCCAGCTGCCTTGCCCTCCGGGGCATCTCTGAGGCATGTGTTTGACACTGGCTCTGAGTTTCAATTGCCCAGTGTTCAGTCACTTGATAACGCACTGGCTGCTTTCCTGTCCCTGTCGCGCTTCTCTATGGATACATTTTGCGATCACCTCCTCCCCCAAAGAACATTGCACCTGAACCCTTGTCTCAGGATCTGTGCCTGGGAGAGCCCAGTAGACAGCAGAGAAGCGTGTCCAAGGTGGCGGGTCGACACGAACCCCCACCATGCCTCTTTCTGGTTGGTTTCCGTGGAAATAAGAGCCAAGCCTCCCAACACCCCGATAGCTCCTGTGCCACAGGGAGGAGCTCAGCCCACCCGCGACCTCATCACCAACAGAGGTGCCTACCTCCAGAGTACATGTCAAAAGAGTCCTGTCTCAGCACGGCTCCCGTGACCCCTAAGGGATGAGAGAGCAGAACTATCATTTGCTGTAATGTGTCATTCTGCCTGTCATTTTGTGAAAACGAGTACTTTTTAGTCTGAAGTCTGAAAATAGAATAATAATGGACTAACGTCAGGTCCTGTGGAAGGCATGAGGACTAAGTGGGTGTCCAGTAACTACAGGGCTGATCTGGGAGGTACAGCGACGTGATGGAGGAGGGTCTCTGGAATTGAATCTAATTTGACCAGTCTGGGTCTTTGCTCTGCTTTAACATTTCCTAATGCACAACTTAACTTTCCACCTCAGTTTTTGCATCTGACCAATGGGCTGTGGGAACTAAATAAAATATATTTAAAGTAGATAGCATGTAAGGTACAATATAGCTGCAACATAGTAATGAAAGTAACTACAAGTGTCATCATTATTCCCACCTAAATTGAAAATCTGCAATTTGAGCCCTCTGATTCTTGAAAGAAAAGGGATTTTCAGTGGGCTGAACCGTACTCAGTGTCCCGAGTTCAGTAATCTTAATTGTGTTTTGTGGGTTTTGGAAAGGGTCTAAGACCTACAGGGAACCAGGTGTTCCAGAGGGAAATTGCAGTTTTTACTCTCTGCCACTAGATGGGGGTGCTGCAGAGGGGATGGCAGAGATTCTCACCACTCATCCTCCCGGACCCCTTCCCCACGGTAGATTGTGGATTCCGGAAACCAGAAGCCGGTGGGGACTGGGGCCCAGGTAATGGATGCTCTCTGGCTGGGTGGAGGGTGGGGATGGGGGACGGAGCTCACACTGCAGCTCCTCCCAGATTCTTCAAGCCCTAATGTCCAAGCCCCTGGGGCACTTCACCTGGGCCACTCGGAATGGAGAATATGAACCTGTTAAACTGAGATCATGAGCATTTGTGGATTTTTCTGGAATTAGAGGGAGGAGATATAGTCTGAAGTTTCTCAGAGTAATCTCTAGCCCCTGTAGGGTTAAAAACCACCAATCTTTAACAATCCGTTTGTTCTGGCTCATTATACAGTCAAGGACTCTGACCCCAGAAGTGATTCTTGGAGGTTCGGAGCTGGCATACGTAGGTGCTGCATACATGCTTGGAGACACTTCTAGTCTCGGGAGGCCGTTCAGTTGAGTGATTGAGACCTGGAGCCAGCCAGATCCGGGTTAGAATCTAGACGACTCTATGGGCTGTGTAACCGTGGGCAAGCCGCCTAACCTCTCTGAGCTCCCATTGCTCACCTGGAACATGGGGTACTGAGAACATGGGGTGCCATTCTAGCGTGGGGATGCGGCCAAGTGAAATAGCTAACACACAGTAGATAATCAATAAATATTAGTTTTTAGTGTTGTCGGCGGTTGTTTTTACATTTGGACTTTGTGAGGGGTGAGGAGGAAGGCCCCAGTCTGAGCCCATGTCATCAGAGACTGTTCGGGAGGCCTCTGGCAGTGGCCCACTTGGGGGGAGAGAAACCAGCAGGTTTCAGCCAGGCCAGCTGCGGCCAGAGCTGTTTCCTGTATGCCCGGAGAGCGCTCGGGGCCCTGTCTGAGCCGCCTGCGCACCCCCTACAGGAAGGGGCCACCCAAGGAGTGACTCTGCCTCTCCTCAAGACTGTGGAGGAGGCCCGCCCTTCTTGGCCTCCTACCTCCCAGCCCCCACCCTTGCTGAGCTCCCAGGAAGTTGTCCTGGGCTGCCCTCCGACCCTGCTCTAGCAAAGCTCCTGGAAAATGCTCCTCTAGGAGGTTCCCATCCTACCTTGTCCCTTCCTAGGTGCAGCAGTGTGGTCACATGCCACACTCAAGATTGACTTTTCTCTCCCCAGCGCCTACTGTGCCCCTTTCCCATCTGCCCTGACCGTTGTCCCAGAAAGTGGCTCTTAGATCCAGAGAAATGGCCTTTGTTCCCATCTGAGACCCGAGGACAGAGAGGAGGCTCTTTCTTGGCTGAGGCCAGACCACCTGGTCCTTATTTGAAGCCTGTAATCCAAGCCCATCCTGAAATACAGCCCTGTTCCAAGCTCGGCCTGCAGTCGGCGTCTCATTCATCACCTGCTGGAGATGCAGGGTTAGTGAGATGTGTCTCCCTGCCTCCAGCATCCCTACTGCAAGCTGGAAAGAAGTTTCTGGAATGCAGGGCTAAGGCCTTTCTGAGGTTCCTCACTGCCCTCTGCTTCAAGCCCACACTTTTTAATCGGATGCACAGTCCCTGGTCCTCTGGCCTGCTGGCCTCTCCAGCCTCGCCTCTCGCCACTGCGAGAAAGACCCTGTGAGACCCCGAGGGCCTCTCCTCCCCCCTCGCTTCCCTGATCCCGGCACAATGCTGCCTCAGCCTGGAAGGAGTCTCCCCCACTTTTCTCCTGGCCACCCTACTCTACTTCAGGCCTCAGCGGACCATCACCCACCTCCCCTGACGGCCCTGCCCCCAGCTCTGTGTCCCAGCCAGAGCTGTGCTTCCTTCTCCAGAGAGGCTCCCCACCTTGCGACTGTGTGTGAGCTCCACGGACACCCACAGGGGGTTGCGAAGCCAGGGCCTGTTCTTCTAGCTCACAGCTGACCCCCCGCCCCCCCGCCACCCCCGTGCTCTGGGCAGGGTCTGGCCCACTGTGGCTGCTGCAGAACATGGCTGGATCAATGAGTGAAGGTGTGCACTCAGCTCATGGTCCTATGTTGTCATCGGTTGTTCCTTGTGGTTTCATGCGAGTTGGTTTAAACCTCAAGGAGAAGCATGTCCTCCAGGGGCAGGCACACAGGCAGGGGCCTGGCCAGGATGGTGGCAGGACCGGGTCTTTCATACCTTCTGTTCCCACAGGCCAGCCAGACCTCCCTTCCTGGCGCTGCAATGAGCCTGGGCATGTGGCAAGAGCTGAGCCAATGTCGGCTGAATGATGACTGCACCCCACCCCACCCCGGGGGCCATCTGGGGGCGGACCAGCAGCTCACCATTCACCAGGGCGATGTTCAGGCCTCTGCCTACATTGTCTTTCACAGGACTGATGATCCTGGAGATGAAAAAAAAACAAACAAACCACACCAGTCGGTCCCAAGTGTGGACTGAACACTGCTTCCTAGCCTCTGGACCTGGGAGAGGGCCCACAGAAGCATCCGGAAGCATCCAGATGATCTGGGCCATCTGTTTCGCCTGGAAACATGCGATGGGCTGCATTCTCCAGGGAGCCACTCATGGCTTGTTTGGACCAGAACAGTCTGCTCAGGGAAGAGGGAAGGACCCCGCCTGGGGCTCTGAGGTGTCGGAGGTGGGGCCGGCCCACCTCCCCAGGCCATGAGGAAAGCAGAACCTAGAATGTTGCTGCTGTCCTGCAGGTCTGGGATCCCCACGTGGAGCCCAACTGTGTCCCTGCCCACCTGGTATCCTCACTCCTGTCTTCTGGTGCCTTGGGAAAACTGTCCTTCTCCCACTCAGGCCAAGGTGGTTCTCAGGACAAAGCTCTCCCAGGCTTAAACATCAGCACACCCCGTGCCTCCGGCCACAGCGACGGGGCCAGGCATAGCCATGTGACCCAGGCCGCAGTGAGACCTCGTGTGGAGACTTTCACAGGGGTAATTCAGATGGAAAGCTCTCCTCCTCGCGGGGTGCTGGTTAGGGCTAAGCGTTCACCCGCGTGGCCTCCCTCCTTCCCAAGGACGAGGCCTATCCTCAGCAGAGGACAGCAGAGCTGAGGACCATGCGAGAGGAAGCCCTGATGACACGTTTGACCCCCTGGGTGCAGCTGTTCCTGAGCCACTGCCTCTGGTACGTGAGGCGCTAGGCTCCTTGCTTTGCCTATGCCTTGGAGTCAGGATTGGAACCCTGACGAAAACCCTGCCCGTGGCTTCTTCCGTAGGATGAACCCGTTGTCCCGTGGCTCTCACTACCTGGAACTTTCTCTTGCGCCTGGAAGTCTTGGCACCTCCTGCATTCAGACTTTGATGCCTGGTCTTGATGAACCCTCCCCATAGGCATTCCCCTTTGTAGGAAGCCCAGCAGCTTGGCTGTCAGACAGACCTGCGTTCAAATCCTGCCTCTACCACCAGTTAGCTGAGCAACCCTGCCTGACCCTCCATGTCCTCATCTTTACAAAGGGAATCCTTATAGCCTCGCCTCTGGGAGCGTTGGGATTGAATGAGATGATGTTGTGAGCCCTTAGCGGGGTGCTGGCAGCCACAGAAGCTATTAGTGTTATTGTTATCTGTGACTCCCACCCAGAGTAAAAGGACGCATTTGGAAGGTGCGGGCTGGTCTCAGGGCCTGTCTCCGCAGCCTCTGAATTAGCTAATTAACGAATGAATGAAATAAAAGAAACGAAATACAGGAGTCCCTCCGGTACTTACACATGGTCTTCGAAGCATATAGAGGGGCCCACGACGTTGGCAGCCCCACTTGAGATTTTAAAAGCAAAGAAGTTGTCTGGACAGGACTTGCTGAGGCCACACTTAGTCTTCACGACAGCTGGGGAGGGAACAGACCGGCTTTGGTGGCAGGAGTTGTGGGTCGGACCACCCAGAATCCATATTCTGGCTTCCCGGCTCAGCCCCGCCCCAGCGCAGCCCCGCCCCAGCGCAGCCCCGCCCCAGCGCAGCCCCGCCCCAGCGCAGCCCCAGCGCAGCCCCAGCGCAGCCCCAGCGCAGCCCCAGCGCAGCCCCAGCGCAGCCCCAGCGCAGCCCCAGCCCCACCACAGCCCCAGTGTAGCCCAGCCCCACTGCAGTCCCACCACAGACCCAGCCCCACCACAGCCCAGCCCCATCAGGGCCCCAGCCCCAGCGCAGCGCCGGTTCCACGCAGGCCCTGATAAGTGCGTGTGGAGTGATGCGTGTGGTAATGACACTGTCATTATGGTGAAAAGATGCTCTTGAGAACCTCTTTCTGGGGCTACAGCAGCTGTTTGAGCTCCCTCTCCTCCAGAGACCCCTGTGGATGCTTCCTGGGGGCCCTAGCATGGTGGGTGGGAGCATCTCTCACCAGTGGGTTCCCTTGGGCAAGTCTTCAACCTCCTGGCACCTCAACTGCCTTATCTGTGAATTGGGATAACTATGGTGGCTTCCCCACTGAGTTCTTGTGTGGAATAAATGAGCGCAGGTGACTATCGACTATTCTTATCTTCCAGTCATTACTCATTTATTGAGCACCTACTGTGGGCGGGACCCTGGGACATAGCAGGGACAGGTAGGCAGTGCCGGCCCTCTCACCCAGTGATTAGCACGGTCCTGGAAACCCACTGAGGACAGACAATGTGGCATCTCTGATTATTGCAGTCGTGTTAAGGCCTGTGTCCTCTCCACATGGCTTCACAGGGCCAACCAGGAAGGGGCGTGTAGGCTGGCCCCCCAAACACAGCCCTGAGCCACTCGGCCATCCGAGGGCTCTTTGAAAGCTGGGACGTCAGCTGCACGCTCGGCCTGGCAGGTTTTAATATATGCTAATGGATGTTTTTACCATCACCTGACATCTGGGAAGGTACCACTAGGGAGAACTGGAACTGGAGAAAGTTCACCTGCAGAGGGAAAGCAGCGGGTGGGCAGCCTCTCTCCCTCAAGCCCCTGTGCTGGTGGCTGGCTGAGCTGAGCCATCTGGGGCTCGGAGCAAACCCACAGGCTTTTGCACTGAGGGCTTGCTGTGGGCTAGGCACGGGGGCAAGTGCTTTATCTTTATTCTGTTGTTAAATCATTTCAGTAGCTCCTGGGACAGAGTAGGCACTCAGTAAATATTCACTGGGTGACCACACAGGGCATTTGGGCAGGGCTGAGCCCGAGGCTGAGAGTGGGGAGGGACCATGTGGTCTGGATGAATAGCATCTCCAGGGCCCTTGCCAGTCTGTAGGGAGTCTCTGTGAATCAGGAAAAAGTGCCCCTCTGTGGGGACAGCCCACAAGTACAAGGATTGGCATGCCTATGACACTTCTGAGTAGGAAAAGGTGCCCCTTTCTAGGAGTGAATGTAGCCCACACCAGGGTCCCCTTGGCCGAGTTGGCAGTCCTGGTGATCTGAGCGGAATGCCTGTCCTAGGCTCTCTGTCCCTCCCCTGAGTTTCAGCACACCCCCTTGATGGGTGCGACCAGAGATCAACGGGAACATGATCACCAGAGAGTGAGGGCCGAGGGTAGAGACACCCCAGATGGGCTGTTCAAGAGGGACTCGGTGTCCAGGCCTGTGGCTCAGGAGAGAGAGGGCTGGAGACCAGGCAGGACCATCTACAAAGGGTCCCAGCCCTGGCAGCGGGGCTGGCTAAGGATGAGGCTAGGGAGGTGTCCTCGAACCTTATGAGCCTCGGAGCCCCACCTCTGACCACCTGCCCTGCCACAGAGAGGCCCGTTTCCTCTTGAGACCAGAGGGGTTCACTAATGCTGTAGGGGTTGTCCCAGGCCTCGGGAACCACCTGAGAGTTTGCCCAGAGCCTAACCAACTGCAGCCGACTCTGATAAACCCGACGTCAACAAGTCGGCTTAAACAGGCTTTCCCAGAATTGATTTTCTGACCATCGAGCCTTCACAGTCAAGCTGAGGGATGAAGGGGATGATGCCCACGGGTCTCAGCCACTGGGAGGCAGGGGACTTGTTCTCTGAATTTGGGCTTCCCACACACCGTGGGAGTCGGACTCCAGGGCTGTTGCTCAGGGCGCGGCCAGCAAGCTCCGGCGGCTCTCAGTACTCTGCTGGGCCACTTGCCAGAACTTGCTCCCTCTCCCTTTGCCGGCGGTAAAACGAGGCAGTTGGCTTAGATCAGGGTGGTCAAATAGGCTTCCTTGTAGTGTCATGGATCTACCACTAGAGGCTGCGTGGGCGGGAAATGGTGCTGGGATTGGTGGGCGATGTCTACAGTGGGCACGCAAGGTGGGAGGCAGCAGGGTGCCTGTGTGTGCCATCGTCCCAGCAGTGACATCCCAGTGTTTGTTCAGCACCAAGGTGCTGTGACTCTGTCTACTTCAGGAGATGACCCAGGAGGCTTCTAGGAGCTGGGCTGGGGGTGAAGGGGGACTGGGTTGTGTTCATTCCGATAGTCTTTGCTCTCTGTAATCCCACAGTGCACTGGGCCTCCCAGGCCTCTCAGGCCTCTCCAGCAGGCAAAATCCGGTTCCTGGAGCTGCGTTCCTGCTCAGTCACCGCCATGTCGGGCTGAGAGGGGACCTGGCCAGGAGAGCTCACCTCTCTGAGCCTCAGTTTCCTCATCTATAAGATGGGGACAATTACAGCACCCACAGAGGATTGTGGGGAGGATTGCATGAGATGCCTGTGAAATTCTGAAGACATTGGCACACATTAGGCACTCAGTCAATGTCACCATTACCATCTTCACAGCCGTCTCCCCCTTGCACCTCCTTTGTACCTAGGGGCAGGGTCCTTGCCATGCAGACTTCTGCCCTGTCCAATTTGGGGTGTCTCCACTCCTCACATCCCTGACTCTGCAGCCAAGGTCTCCACTGGAACCCCAGCATTCCTGCCTCTGGGTCTTCACATGGGCTGTTCCCAGCTCCACAAGGCACAGCTGAAGAGCCACCTCCTCCCTGGTACCTTCCCTGACCCCATCCCATTGGCAGGGGGTGGCCTTCCTGGAGCCCAGACACTTTGCCCCACCTCTCTTGGCACAGTTGGCACTTCTACCCAACAGGTAATCGGCACCCCCTTCGGCTGGCCTCTGGGGGCCCCGGCAGTGCCTGACATGGAGCTGGTATGGTACTTGGAAGCAGAAACCATGAGGCAAGCTTGGTCAATGCAATGGCGATAATGAGCACGGGCTCCGTCTTCGGGGCTCCCTGCTGGGTGGGGGAGGCAGCAGTGCGGGGCCAGGTGCTGTGACAGGGCGGCGGGGGTGGGCACAGGCTGGACTGAGGGTGGGAGGACTAGGGAAGGGGACAGCTGAGCCAGTCCTGTCAGCCTGGAGGCTGAGAAGGACCATCCCTGCCACAGGGCTCGGGCTTCAGAAGGTCACTGGGCTATGGGAGGAGAGGGCCACACAGGTTCTGGAAAAGGAGATTTTTCTGGGACCCACAGGGCTGGGACTAGAGACCCTGGATTGTCTCACTCTAAGGCAAGAGGGGTGCTGGGGAGACACTTACGGATCTCCTTGGAGACTGGGCCTGTTGGAGAAAAGACAGAATCTGGTTAGAGAAGAAGTGTTTTGGGCCCTTCCTGCAGCATGGAGGTTGGGGCCTGGGGACTAGGGAGTGAGCAGAAGGGACATGAGTGCTGTTGGCCTGGCTGAGCAGAGTCCCCTCCCATGGGGGAGCTGAAATGAGCTAAAAGTCCCCTCTCATCTGGGAGTCCTTCCTCACTTGTCTTCATGAACACACATACACACATGTGCACACACAGGCACACAAATGCACACACATACACAAGCACATGCACACACAAGCATGTACACACACACCTACACATGCAGATGCACTAACATATGCACAGGGACACGTGTGCACACTCATGTACACATGAACACACAAGCACGCATTCTCTCATGGTTAAAAAAAGCGGGGCTCTGTTGTGAGACCCACAGGAGCTGGAGCTCTACTCCCAGCTGTTTGACCAGGTGTGAGTTCTCCTTGACCCCACAGTGGAGGTCCTCACACCCACCTTCACAGGCTGTGGGGGCCGGCCTCAGGGAAGGGCGGGAGTGTGTGGCTGGTGTTGGTCAGCCACCAGAGCGTCCCTTTCCTGAAGTCCCCTGGCACCGACGATTTGCATGGTCTTCGGGCTCGTGGCCACTTCCTGACATCTGCATCCTGGTTGTTTCTGGGGTTCCATGTTAGGTCTCCCATTATACTGGCAGTAAGTCCTAGAGGCCAGGGCTGCCAGTGGCCACAGAAATTCTGAGGGTGGAAACTCTCCTTTTTTGGGGGACCCCACACTGACACTTCCCATTTTGTCATCGGGGGCTGTTCATCCTAGAGTGTCCTCTCCCTGCCTCCAAGACTCCAGGAGTAGGACGGGACCCAGGCTGGACCAGTCATAACATTACATTCCTCTGGGGACAGTCCCTGCCTGGGTTGATACCTGGCCATGAGGGAGCGAGACGTGCCTTTCAGCTCAGCAGGAAGATGAGCATCTGGAGAGATGGCAGCCATCACACCTGCCTTAGAGAGGAAGCTGCCTGTGGAATGAGGCTAAGTAGCAACAAGCAGCGCCCAGGGACATAGAGACTCTGGAGGCTAGATCCAGCCACACCTGAAGCCTGATATCCATGGACTTCCCAATTACACAGCACAGGACAGCCTATGGTTTAAACCAGCTAGAGTTGGGTTTGTCTCTCCCATCTGAAAGAACCCTGCCTGCTTTGCCAGTAAATCAGGAGTTACTCTCCCGATCCCTGTGCCAGGGACCCCGGTGGTGGTTTGGGAAAACCTGTGAACAAATTTAGTCCCAGTTCTCTCGAGACACTTAGTACCTCCTGTTGTAACAGACTGCAAGCTATAAAACCATAAAATAAAATAGATTGGATTAGAAAGAAAACCAAATATATATAAATATATAATAAAATATTAAAAAATAAAATTGTGCCATAGTAATATATGTGCTTCTATATTAATTCAGTAACTACAAGGTGGGGTCTGTGCAACCAGGTTAGGAACTCGGCTCTCGAGACTCTGGATCATGTGAATGCACTCTCATTTCTGTATGTCCTGTGACCATGTCTGTTTGTCACCCCAGCTCAGACCATGAGCTGGTCTCACGTGTTCCTCACTTCAGGGTCTGGGCACTAACACAGAGTAGTTGCTTGATGAATTTGGTTGCAGGTGTTGGTTTGTCAAATCCCAGGTAGTTGAGTTCTGAGAGGGAAAAACTTCTGGGGTCTCCTTCAAACACTGTTTCTTCTCCCATCTCAGGCTGGGCTCTCTCCTCTAGAGGACACCCCTGGTCTCCACTCCTGCCCTGAGCCTCCAGGCCTGACCTGGCCCATCTCCTCCAAGGCCATCAGCACAGCCCCATCCATCTCTAGTCTATAAAGGCAGTGCCCTGGGCCTGGGGACATGATGGCCATCACACATCTGTATAAATCATCCTGACCTGGGTATGAACCATGTTGATAAGGATGAGGTAAGGGGTAGCTGAGACTCCACGGTGGGGAGTTTGTATTAAAGACAGGGTGACTGACTTTTCATTGCCGTGAAGTTATGAGCTGCCCTGGGCCACTATATGTTGTTATGTTTGACTATGTTATTGGAGGTGGTTCTTGATCTTTAAAGAGGACAAATCCCTTCCCTTTCTCTCCTTCCTTTGATAGGATTTGGATCTGGGAGACTTGGGTTACCATTCTTATTCTGACATCTACAAGAGGAAGTTGGAAGTTTCTGTTTTCTCAGACCACACGTAAAACCACAGCATGAGTCTACTCTACAACCACAACATGGGTCACCCATGGGGCATTTGTGAAGATTAAATGAGACTATGCATGTAAAGCAGCTAGCATCCATCACCCATCCATTGCCCATCCATCACCCACTCATCGCCCATCCATCACCCACTCATTGCCCATCCATCACCCATCCATTGCCCATCCATCGCCCATCCATTGCCCATTCACCATCCATTCATCATCCATCCATCCATCCACCCATCCACATCCATCCATCCCTCCATCCATCCATCCATCCATTTTTCTTTCACTGATCGAGTGTTTACTGAGCATCTGCTCTGCACCAGGTGCTAGAAAGATGGATGCACACGAGTTAAATCATTGCCTTCAGGAAGCTTACATTCCAGCTGGTGGAGATAGACAACAGCCAAGTAAATAAACAAATAAATGAGATCAATGATAATACTCTCAAGGAAATAGGCTGACATGACAGAGGCTAAAGTAGGAGGAGGGGATGCGGCTGCAGCTGGGATGGTCAGCGAAGGCATCTCTGAAGAGTTAACATTGAGCAGAGACCTGAAGGCTGAGCAGGAGCTGGCCACATGGAGACCTGCGAGGAGAGGGTCCCAGGCAGAGGGAACAGCAAGTGCAGGTGGAAACCACTCAATGTGCGGACAGTTCACTCCCTCCCTGCTTTACTCCCTCACTCTGTCCTTCCTTCTTGGGCCACATTTGCAAACTAGCCCTTGATCTAGGCACATGCTTTGTCCAGGGCCTCGGAACACTCCTCTGTTCCCTATGGGCTCCAGGCTTTTGACAGCCTGGGGGTGTCCTCTCTCGCCTCCCACCCCACAATGGCTGGGGTCCCCAAAATAAGCCCACACCATGCCATGTCCCTGGTGTCACCAGGGGTGGAAGGAGGAATAGATCCTTGACCCTTAGCCCTGGTCCACAGGCCCTGCCCCTAGCAGTGAGCTGCACTCACCCAGCCAGCGGGGCAGACGGGTGTTTTTCATGCTGATGCTGGTGTAGCTGCGGATGAAGACAAAGGAGATGATCAGGACAAAGATGAAGGCCAGGAACTGAAACAGTCCTGCAGAGCAAGGAGACACTGACATGAGACCACAGCACCAGACCGCATGGCAAGGCCACTCAGCGAGACCGTGTCACGAGACCCCACATTGTGGCTCCACACCACATCCACACTGTGGACCAGCCCACACGCCCACGAGATGAGAGCAGTGTGAACCAGCGAGGATGAGAGTGGGGCGACCATGCTGCAGTGCACCTTCCTGGAGCGCTCCAGAGAGAAAGCTCCAGGGCCGAGGCCTGGGACCCTGCAGCGGGAGGCGGGGGGCAGGAGGCGGGGGGCCGGAGGGGGGAGGGGGGCGGGAGACCAGAGGCAGCCTGCTGCAGCAGTCCTGGAGGGGGCCCTGCCACAGGAGTCAGGAGAGCTGTGTCCAGTGCTCAGGGCAGCCATCCACCGCTGTGTGGCCTCGGACGTGGCTTCTCTGAGTTGGGGTCCCTCCATCACAGAGTGGACGTGGTGACACCTTTGTAACTGAGCCCATGGCTTGCAGGGAGAAGTGTGATAGTTGTCACCAGTAGGCAGCCTCCAGGGTGACTTGGGACGTAGGGTTTGTCCCCCATACATCCCATCAACTCCCCCTGAGGGCCACCACGAATAAGCACACACAGCTCTCGACAGGCACGCACTGGCCTTGCTGAGGCGGCCTGCCTTCCCATCCTGGGGGGCAGCCTCCCGCCTGGGGTGGACCCCCAGCTCCCAGTCCCTTTCCTCAGTCTTCCCCGAGGTGAGAAGCGGGCTCCAGGCCTGGTGGCTGCTGCCGCCTGGATCCAGCCCGGGCATCAGGCAGGGTCCCTCGCTCCTCGCCTGACCTCCCTCTCGGCATCCCTTCTCCTCAGCCTGAACCCAGCTCTGGGGCCTTGTGCTGGTCTCCAGCTGCTTGGGGTGGGCGAGAAGGCCCCATATCCTGTGGGGTGCAGCTCAGATGTGTGGGGTCCCTTATCTCTGAGGACACAGTGTGGTGTAGGCACCCAGAGTTCCTTGTGGGGATCACGGCACACAGCACTCGTTTGGCGCCAGGCCCTGTGCCAGCAGCTTAACCCCATTGTCTCAGAGCCTCCGCGCAGGGACCCTCTGTGCTGGGTCCTACTGGATGTTCCTGTTTCACAGATGGGGAAACTGGCTCAGAGAGGGGTCACTTGGCTAGTAAGTGATAGAGGTGGGATTTGAACCCAGACCAGTGAGCTGACATGGAAGCTTGTGCTCTTCACTCCCTCACAGCTGTTTTGAATGTCAGTGAACTGTGTTCATTTCCTGGTCGGTGCCTCGGTTTCTCGGTCTGTACAGAGAAGACACGGTGTGAAGGTGGAGACCAGAAGGCAAAGTCTTCTCCTCAGGCCCCGCCTACCCTATGAGGGTTCTAGAAAAGCCTTCCTTGAAGCAAATATTTTGCTCCTGATTTCCAGCCAGGGTCGGGTGTTTGCAAGATAAGGAGTCCTCATGATCTCAGCTGGGTTGGGGTTCCTGTGCCAACGGTCTTCTAGCCCTTCAGCTGGAGGCAGCCAGTTGCCTCCCTCCCCCCCCCCCAGCTCCTCCCTGGACTGTTTCCTCCTGGAATTCTGGCCTGACCATTTGAGAAAGATGCAGCCACTTGACCCTGAGTCCAGAACAGGCGGCCTCTGCTGACAGAGATGAGTCCAAACCAACTCCACACCTCAACCTTGAGCCCTGGGATTCCCAGGCCTGGCCCTACCTGATACTCTCATCCTGGGCAGGGGAGAAGCGGCGGGGCTCAGTGGTGGCCTGTGGAGAGAAGAAATTGATTTGGAAACTGGTATCTGGGGTCTGAAAGTGAACAAGCCTGAAGGGTAGGGTGGGCACTTCTAACTGAGCGCACCGACTTTGCAGTTTGGTTCCTTACCATCTGCCTTATGGACTTTCTTCCCTCTCTGCCTCTACAGTAAGGTGAAGTCTGCCAGCCCCCGTCTCTTGGAGAATTGATTTATTTATCCATCCATCCATCCACCCATCCATCCACCCACCCATTCATCCACCCATCCATCCATTCATCCATCCATCTATCCACCCACTCATCCACCCATCCACCCATCCATCCACCCATTTATCCATCCATCCACCCATCCACCCACCCATCCACCCAATCACCCATCCACCCATCCACCCACCCATCCACCCATCACCCATCCACCCATCCACCCATCCACCCATCCACCCATCCACCCATCCATCATCCACCCATCCATACATCCACCCACCCATCCACCCACCCATCCACCCATCCACCCATCCATCCACCCATCCATCATCCATCCATCCATCCACCCACCCACCCACCCCCCCATCCATCATCCATCCATCCACCCATCCATCCATCCACCCACCCATCCACCCATCCACCCACCCATCCACCCATCCACCCATCCTCCACCCATCCATCCATCCACCCACCCATCCACCCATCCATCCACCCATCCATCCATCCATCATCCATCCATCCATCCATCCATCCACCCACCCATCCACCCACCCATCCATCCATCCACCCATCCATCCACCCACCCACCCACCCACCCATCCACCCATCATCCATCCATCCACCCATCCACCCATCCACCCATCCACCCATCCATCTACCCATCCACCCATCCATCCACCCATCCATCCATCCACCCACCCATCCACCCATCCATCCACCCATCCATCCATCCATCCATCATCCATCCATCCATCCATCCATCCACCCACCCATCCACCCACCCATCCATCCATCCATCATCCATCCATCCACCCACCCACCCACCCATCCACCCACCCACCCACCCACCCATCCACCCATCATCCATCCATCCACCCATCCACCCATCCACCCATCCATCTACCCATCCACCCATCCATCCACCCATCCATCCACCCATCCACCCATCCACCCATCCACCCATCCACCCATCCACCCATCCACCCATCCACCCATCATCCATCCATCCACCCATCCACCCATCCACCCATCCATCTACCCATCCACCCACCCATCCACCCATCCATCCACCCATTTATCCATCCATCCACCCATCCACCCATCCACCCATCCACCCATCCATCCATCATCCATCCATCCATCCACCCACCCATCCATTCATTCATCTGTCCATCTACCCATCCAGTCAGCTGAGAGACACTGAGCTAGCTAGCCCCATGGAAACCATCAGGGAGCAGAACTCAGGAGACCTTTGCTGATGCAGCAAAACAAAGAGCGACCAGGACCCGCCTGTAACAGGTGAGCCTGTGCTGGGCGCTTATATGCATTCTGCTTTCCTCGTCGCAGCCGGCGATTTCGGGGCGAGTAAGTGAAGACTCGTCATGGTTAAGCTCAGGGCTACTCAGCTTCCAGGGGTCAGAGTCAGAACGCAGGTGGAGGTCTCTGCTGCCCAGTCCCCACAGGGTCCCACTCCAGTGCTTTTTGTTTCAGAGGAGAGTTGAAATCAAAGTTTCCTCCCTTTTTAAGTCCTGGGCAGGGGGAGGGTCATCGTGGGCCCACATCTCCCCTGTGCCACCCCCAGAGGCCGGCAGTTACCAGTGATCTGACAGCTTTGAAAACCCCCAGCAGGACTCTGGAGATGCTGGGTGTGGAGGGGGTGCTGGGGAGAACTGTCCCCGGTCTCGGGCTCCCCACAGCCAGCTGGAGGGTCTCTGGCAGGGCTCTGGTGGCAGTGACTTGCTCCGACCACTCTTCCTGCCCCTGCCCACCCCAGAACCTTCTTTACCCTAAGAATCTATCTCAACAGACACGGTGTCCAAAGCCCAACTGCCAAGGGTGCAGGAACAAGCTCAGGGACCTGGTCGGGCTGGGTCTGTCATATATATATATATATATATATATATATATATATATATATATATATATACACACACACACACACTTTTATTTTTGAAAGTATTACAGATGTTCCCCATGTCCCCTAATTTTTCCACCTCCAATAACAGCAACAATAAAGGCAAACCCACATCTCCTCGCGAGAATGATAAGAAACCCTCCCACGTCCTGGCCCCACCAGGTCCTCTGGGTGAGAAAGCCGAGCTGTCACTGGCCCTGCCCACAGAGCTTTTGTGAAGTTAACTTTCTGAAATTCAAGTGACCAATCTTTTTCCCCAGACATAAAAATATATATGCTCTTGAATGTTCTTGGGGGTGTTCTGGCAGGGCTCTGTATAGTCTCAGAGCCCAGGCGCCTGGATGAGGCTCAGAGGACATTCTGTGGGGTCCCCTGTGTGTGGAGGATGTAGGATAGCTGGGGGCAGATGGGCTGGAACACAGACAGGGTCAGACAGAAGGGAGAAGGGGACAGATGAATGGACATGGATATTCACAGAGGGAGGATGCGCAGAGATGGAGACAGACAGAGAGACAGGAAAAAGGGGGAGAGCAGAGATAAAGAGAACATATCACCTGTGTACCCCAGATTCGGAGAGAGAGAGGCTGATGGTAGAGAGAGATGAGATGAGGGCAGGGGGCTAGCCTCTCGCTGTCATGCCCATGCCAAGCCGGGACTCTGACTCCAGAAGAGGGGCAGGGAGGGACAGGGGGATGAGGGCTCTCCCAGCTTGATGTCCTCCCTGGAGGAGCCCCGACTGTCCACTCAGCACTCGCAGGGCCCTCTGCTCGTCTGAACCCCCAGATGGCTTACCTTGCTAGCCCGTGGCCGTTCTGGAGCTGAAGCCCAGGACTGGCCTGCCGGGGGTGGGAGGGCGTGCAGGACAGGTGTGCAGGAAGGGTGGGACAGGTTCTCTCCGCAGCCACCCAGGCCCAGAACAGTTTCTTTCTTCCTTGTTCCTGCTGAGATGTCACAACCTGTTATTCAGGTTAGAAAGTTCTGGGGCAAGGGCACAGGGAGATATGCCCTTCTGCCCCCCCTGCGTGGCTCCTGGACAGGCCCAGGCCCAGATATGGTGGCTCCAGGGTCATGCGTGATCACAGGTAGATGGGGTGGGAGGGTGGAAAGTAGGGGTTGGGGGTGGGGAGTGGGAAGTCAAGAACTGCCGAGAATTGCTCCAGTTCTCCCTGACTGGACAGCCCATTGTCTGCCCTCACTGTCCTTGAGCCTCTTCCTTCCTCCCGCCCCTCCCCCAGGGCCCCTTCTGATTTCTGGTTGCAGGTCTGGCCAAATGTCTAAAACCCTTTCCTTGTCCCATGGCAGGCGGGCCTTGTCTCCTACAGGCCAAGTGCAAGCCAAGCACTGAGGCGGTGCTTAAGTATTCGGGGACTGAATGCATTGGATTCTTGCATAGTCCTGGAAGGTTAGGATGATTAAGCGACCAGCTAGAGAAGGAAGCGGAAGTTCAGAGAGGGCAAGTGAGTTGTCTGTGGCCACACAGTCGATTGTGGATTTCATTCCTGAAGCATCCTCTGAGCACTGGTGGGAAGGCAGGCTGTGCACTAGGCGTGGGAGATGCTGCTGTGAGGGAGACCCCCTCTGGAGCATCCTGGGCCTCTGCGTTGCTGGCCTCCGTCTGAACACTGTTCTGCCTCTTCGCCTGGGATACTCCTACTCAGGTCCCAGTGTAGGAGTCACTTCCCCTGGCAAGTCTTCCCTAACCCTTCCTGGGTTGGGGGACATTCATCATGGTCACTCCACCCTGTCCTAAGGGCTGGCCAGCCAAAGCGTTGTGTTTTCCTTGCGAATGGTTCAGGAAGGAGCATGTGACCCAAGCAAGGCCAATCAGAGTTTTTCCTCGGGTGGGTTTGGAAACTGGGGAGAGAGGCTGTTTTCTCCTGGTGACATCAGTGACCTGGGGCTGCTGGAATCCATCTTTTTTTTTTTTTAAATCCTCACCCAAGGACTTTTTTTTTTTTTTTTTTGCATTTATCTTCAGACAGAGCGGGAGGGAGAGAGGGGGAAAGAGAGAAAGAGGGAAACATTGATGTGAGAGAGACACATGGATCAGCCACCACCCACACGACCCCAATGAAGGCCGGGGACAAACTGCAACCAAGGTACGTGCCCATAGCGGGAACCGAACCCAGGACTCTCTGGCCCACAGGCTGACGCTCTAACTGCTGAGCCAAACCAGCCAGGGCTGGAGTCCCTTTCTCAGCCATTGCAACGCATCGCCTCCTGTTGTAGACAGGTCCCACCAGCAGGTGGTGATGCAGGGGCTGAGCAGTGGGGCTGGTGCGTGTGGTTTTGGTCCTGAAAGAATTGGGCAGTAAAAGGCTTGTGATGTTGGGAAAGAGGATGAGATTTGTGACCACACAGACCCGAGTTTGCCACTTGCTGGTTGTGTGTTTTGGGGCCTTGGCTCCCTCTTTTGTAAAATGACAGTGATGCTAGTTACCTCTTCTAAAAGGGGCGGGCATGGGGCAGGGAAGCCACCTGTCTGGATGAGGTTTGCTGGCCAGCTGGCCTCTGCCCGTCTCCTCCCTGCTGGCAGCCCCATGGCAGGTTCCCACACGGATGTCTGTTCTTTCTGTGGAACCCAGATGCCATCAGAGTAGCTCGCTGCCTGATTGCTTGTGACATTTCTTAACCGCTCTGTCGCAGCTGGGATGTCAGCTTCCTACTGTTTCCCGGAGCCCTCTGCACAAAGGGGCCTTTCAGCTCCACCGTGACTTGTCCCAGGATCAAGACGGATGGGGAAGGTCTCCTCTCTCTCCGGGCTGGAAGGGTTGAGGAGAGCACCTTGACGGATAAACAAGGGGTGTCTCCCGTTAAATCTCCCCTGTGGACGCTGAGCTCTGCGGACAAGCTCCGCGTCTTCCCTGACGTGGGCATCAGCCACAGGTTCCACTCACCCAAGTGTACTTTTCCACTGATTTAAAAGAATTTTTAGATAGAGTGTGTGTGTGTGGGACATTGATGTGAGAGAGACACATCAATTGGTTGCCTCCTGCATGACCCGACCAGTGCCAGGGATGGAACCTGAGACCCTTCGGTCCACGGGCCGACAGTCTAACCTCAGAGCCAAACCAGCCGGGGCTGGCAGGTTGTTTCTAAGGGGCTGAGAGCTGAAGCCAGGTGTGGAGCTTGGAGAAAGGGTTCCAAGTGGCAACAGCTGCAGCTGTATAGCTGTGCATTCACTCGCTGACAGTCTGGTGTTCTCCTCTGTGTCCGGGGCCACACCTCAACTACTGGCCGCATTACAGAGAGCAGGAAGGGCCCATCCAGACACACCTGGGAGAGGAAATGACTCACACATGGCATGCGTGCTGTGTCTGGATCCCCTGCACCCATGGGAGACATCAGCAACTGATTAGATCTTGGCCTCAGAACCTTTTCAACTTAGCACTTCAGGCAGAAGCAATAGATTCCACTCCCATCTTAGAAGGTTTGCAACGGAGAGAGTAGCAGACATGCACCATTCTAGCACTTACCCTAGTGTTGGCCACAGGAACCTGTGACACCCACCCGAGGGCTTCCTCCTGGCCCACCTGGGGGTAGGCCGCGAGAGCTGGGGCGTGGATGCCCCGGAACAGCCCTTAGCTGGTGTGGTTGAGAGGTTGAGGATAACACCCCAGCCTTCTCATTCCCACATGGCATGATGGGTTGGATGGTGTCCCCTTAAAATTCTTATGCTGAAGTGCTAACCCCCAGTACCTCAGAATGTGACCTGACTTGGCGATGGGTTGCAGATGTAATTAGTTAAGATGGGGTCTATAGGTCGGGCCCCTAATCCAGAATGGCTGGTGTCTTTCTAAGAAGGGGAGGTTCTGACACAGAGACACAGACACCGTGGGAGAGTGGAGTGACTGCCCACCTCCGGGACCTCCGGAAGCTGGGAGAGAGGCTCCGTCCCCAGCACCTTCGGAGGGAGCAGGCTCTGTGACACCTTGCTCTCAGTTCCTGGTCCCAGAACTGTGAGACAATACATTTCTGTTGTTGGGCCACCCAGTCTGCGGCGCTGTTATGGAGCCCTCGCGGACTAACACGGTGCGGCAAGTCTGAGCCGGGTCCGCGCTGTCCCGAGTCCCGCAATGGAACCAGCCTCAGTTTCCACAGTGGCCTGGTGGCTACCACCCCCTTTGCAGTGTCCTGTCCTTCCCGTCACACTCCCCCCTCCCCTGCCGGTGCCATCTGGGTCCCTTCCCACAGACACTCCTCTCCCTTGTATCTTTTCCTTCGGGCTTGGATCTGAGGAAACCAGCTCAGAGCAGCATAAACCGGATCTGCCCTCCGCTGCCCTCGGGTTCCCGTCCGGCGTAGGCTCCACCATTCTCCCCACTTCAGACCAGGGCCTGCAGGGTCGCCCTCCCCTACCCCCCACCCCCTTCCCTGTTGGCTCTGCCTGGGGGCCGCAGCCTGTCATCCGCCCTCCGTGACCCCCGGGAGCCTCCTTTTCTGACTTTTCTTGTTGTCTGACCCCAGGCCCTGCACCTATGTCAGGACAGAGGGACCAGACTGTTTGCTTAGTGAGCTCTTGAGCAAGATTTGCTTAACTGATAATAAAAAGAATAAAGTGTAACAAATAGCTGCCGTTTGTTGAGGGCTCACTGAGTGCCTGATTCCAGGCACTGCAACTCTGAGGTATGTATCTGGCTAAACCCCCGTGACCTGTATACACTACTGGACGCCACCCTCTCCGGGCCTTGTGACCTGGACGCACTGCCGGCCCACCCTCTCCGGGCCTAGTGACCTGGACGCACTGCCGGCCCACCCTCTCCGGGCCTAGTGACCTGGACGCACTGCCGACCCACCCTTGCCCGGCCTAGTGACCTGGACGCACCGCCGGCCCACCCTCTCCGGGCCTAGTGACCTGGACGCACTGCCGGCCCACCCTCGCCGGGCCTAGTGACCTGGATGCACCGCCGGCCCACCCTCTCCCGGCCTAGTGACCTGGATGCACCGCCGGCCCACCCTCGCCGGGCCTAGTGACCTGGATGCACCGCCGGCCCACCCTCGCCGGGCCTAGTGACCTGGATGCACCGCCGGCCCACCCTCTCCGGGCCTAGTGACCTGGACGCACCGCCGGCCCACCCTCGCCGGGCCTAGTGACCTGGACGCACCGCCGGCCCACCCTCTCCGGGCCTAGTGACCTGGACGCACTGCCGACCCACCCTCGCCGGGCCTAGTGACCTGGACGCACCGCCGGCCCATCCTCGCCGGGCCTAGTGACCTGGACGCACCGCCGGCCCACCCTCGCCGGGCCTAGTGACCTGGATGCACCGCCGGCCCACCCTCTCCGGGCCTAGTGACCTGGATGTACCGCCGACCCACCCTCTCCGGGCCTAGTGACCTGGACGCACCGCCGGCCCACCCTCTCCGGGCCTAGTGACCTGGATGCACCGCCGGCCCACCCTCTCCGGGCCTAGTGACCTGGATGCACCGCCGGCCCACCCTCGCCGGGCCTAGTGACCTGGACGCACCGCCGGCCCACCATCGCCGGGCCTAGTGAAGCAAGCAGAGCACACTTTTCGGCTGAGAACAGAAGAGGGTGCAGGTTCTCTCCCACGTGAGACTTGTCACCCTGGAGTGGGGCCTTCTCGGTGTGGGGCGCAGGCCAGCGGAGTTGGAACCAGGTCGTCTCGCCAGCATCGGTCCCCCTGAACCAGAGGAAACGCAGTGGACGTGGCCGACACCGCTCCCCACAGTCACGCCCTGAGCAGGCTGAGCCCTTTGAGTCTGCTTGGTCAGGAGGTATTTGGGGATCTCTGTGACATTAAAAAAAAATCCAGCTTAATTATTCATCCTACGGTATTTCCAGAGGATCTCCTCTGAGCAATTACGATGCTGGGGG